CAGAAACAGAGTCGCTTTAGCAAGCTTATCTTCATATTACGGTGGTGGATTAAGTAAAACACACATATTCAAAGAATATGTTTTTGAAGCTAATGCTATCTTGTTTGAGAGAAAGGTTTAGTTCTGCAAAGCAAAAACTAGCATTTTAGTGAAACAAAAAAATTGGAGGAAGGCTTCTGCAGAAGTTAACCTCGACGCCTGGAGCCCTTCAGTTGGGCATAGGTTGTGTTGAGACAAGAATCTTTGATCAAGATTGCACAACCTGAGATTGATCAAGGGTTTCAATGGACACACTGTCTTCTTGGTGGTTTTGTTTTTTTTTTTTTATTTCATCATCTATACAATGGTTTATTTAATGCAGTGTAGTTACTGTGGTTATTTATTAAGAAAACAGTAAGCTTTAAGTGCCTGGGGAAGATGGGGGTAGGGAAGAATCACCTAAAAATCTTAATGATTAGGATTATAGGGGCAAAGTTGTTGACGCAGAAATGAAGTAGAGAGATTCTCAGGAGAAAGCAAACGTAACTAAGTTGTAGTATGTTTAGGAAATTACTTTGCCCAGTGTCAAGACACTGGAAGATTTAGGATTATGTTTTGTTATGCTTTTTAATATTAATTGCAGCCAGCTCACTTGCTGGTGCATGGTGAAAATTGCTGCTGGAGGGATATCCTTGGGCTCAAGGAGGAGTCTGGAGGGTTTGTCAGGATAGTGTTTTGGCCCATTTGCTTACATTAACAGCTTGTTCATGGGAGATTCTGAGCACTCGGCTTCTAGAGGACTGAGAGAGCATTGCCCAGCCCTCCTTGAAATGAGGTGCATGTGATGTGTTGGGCCTTCCACAGGGAACATGTGTGCTGTGGGACTGTACAGTGATCCAGAGGCAAGATTAACAGGAGCACAGGGTTAGGGGAGAGACAGATAGCAGCAGTTAGGCAGAAAAGGGGCTGTGCAGTTTTATCCAGTTAGCTTGACCGAAGGGGTGTCCCATAGCTGGGCTTTAGCTGTGCTTTTAGAACAACCCATGTTCTTCTGGTGGTGCCTGGGACCAACACCATACACAATAAAAAGAAACATCGATGACTAGCCACTAGTTACTTTTTTTTGCACTTGAACTTAAATGTACTGTACTCACGTAAATCCTCATGACTTGTCTAAGTGTCCTTTAAAATCAGAAATGTATTTATTGTACGTTTGTATAACTTGGGGGAGAACTAAAGACTGAACAGGCGACAGGACAGAAGGATGCTAAAAATCATCTTGAGGCAAACCAACCATTTGTTGAGTTCATGCTGTACGGTGTAACCTCAGCTGCTACTGCATAGCACCTGGATTGTGAGGTGAAGCGCTTGTACACTGTGTTTACACTTCAGAATTGTGTATTTGAAATGCCTGCTCTTTTTGGAATTGTATAGTCATTCTATGTTGCAAAATGGACATGTACACCTGGGTTTTGATATTTGTGAAACTGTAAAAACTGTGGTAAGAAATATAAAATATCCATAATGTATTTAATAGTATCAATCTGAACTTTTATTACATTTGCTCATATTATGGTGCCAGCAGTGAACATAATCTCTTGAAATGAAAATAATTCAATGATAATTACCTTTTGCTAGGTTCACTGCGTGGAGGATAGTGAACCTAGAGCCTGGGGACTACTCTTGCGCAGCTTTAAAATCTGTTTCATTATAAAATATGACTGTAGGCACAGATTTCCTTGTGTGGGGCGAGGAGGATGTAAGGTATGCACACCAGTGTGCATCATAAACAGGTTGATATGGAAGTGTGCAGGACATTATGAGTGAAAATCAAAATTGGATTATGTTTGTCACCTAGCAGTTTTGAAATAGAGGCTTCTAAGTGCAGGTCATGTTAGCTTGTATGGAAATACTTCCAATTCCTATTTCTGATTATATTTGCACTATTGCACCTGCCCCATATGGTGCCACATTTGTCTGGAATTTATTTTTATCTTAGGTGCATGACAGTTACATTTTTACTGTTTCAAATGCTTAATTTGAATACAAACAAAAGTGATGACAGGGAGAGACCTGTAAGTTGCCAGACCTCAACTGTCATCTTACAAATTTGGTTTGTGGTGGTTTGGATCTTTCATGAGTGGAGAATGGGAATGGCAAGTTCCTTCAGGGAGATGTATTCGAGGTAGAGGGGACACTGTTCTGGAGCAACCACAGCTAGTGTACAGTTACATTTCTTAAATCTGCAACAAGGGAGAAAACCTCGGGACGTAAACACACCTAATTTGCTTGGCTTCTCCTTGTCATACATCGTGCTGTTCTGAAAAAAAGCAAATGCATAAGGGAGGAGAACCACACAGTTGAAAAATACTTTTATTTAAAAAAAAAATCTTGAAAGTACAAAGTAGTGGATCAAGTATGCTGTACTGTGAATACAAAATAAATATGAAATTCTTCAACATATGAAACAAAAGATAAAGGGAACTCATCCTTAGTTAAGGAAGAAAGGCTTTTATAACGGTTAAGGTAATGGATTAACATCTAGATCCTGTTCCCAGATTTTCTGGCTGAACACTGAACAGTACTTAACAGCTGTTGTCTCAGTAAACCTATGTAATCTCCATATATCACAGGAACACTGTGCAAGTAAACTCACTGTTGGTAAATGGCTCAAATGACAGCAGTTTTGGTAGGTTTTATTTATCAAATGCTTCCCATGCTGCAACAGGGGGGATTTTTAAGGTCAATATCAGCTTTCCACTAAAGTAGTCATCATCTTTCTCGTATGTTGCTGCATTTCTGTCTTGGATGTACTTAGTAGTTTCCTGCTCTGCTTTGGGTAGTATTTACCCATCCCTGGCAAATGATGGACTTCATAACTACATAAAACCTAGGTTGATTGTTTTTTTCTTTTTCCTTGTGGGCACAGGTGTAGCTGGTATTGTTCTAAATAAATCAGAAAAAGGGACAGTGTCTGAAAAATGTCATGGCCTATTTGGGGGGCACTTTTCCATTTAACATACTGCATAGGTAAAATATTATCTTAATGTATTCTCTGGGCTACTGCATATAAATATGTATGATGTACTTACAGAATTATAATCTTCACTACCTCAGTAAAAAGAGGAAATTCAGAAAAACTGTGGGTTTACACTAGGATAGATCTGATTTTCCCCCTTGGCCTGAAAACATAGATGGGAGTTCTTAGCTAGCTACAAAGTACACTGAAAAAACGTTTGTGCTTTAAAATATGCAAAAAAACACTTAAGAAATCTCTTTAAGTATCCTTTTTTGACTAATCTGTAATAATTGAGTACTTCATTTTCATTTTGGCAACACAGGGAAAAGTAAAATAAATCTTTAGTCTACTAAGATAACTGCTCAGAGGAGTTGCCATCCTTCTCCCAAACGGTCAGCGATAATGTGGCTTTCCTGTTTTCACAACAGCTCATGCTTTCAGCTTCTTGGTAGTGACAGAACCCGCCAAGCCAAGCCTTCCAGAGCGTGGGTGGCAGTTTAACTGTGAATTTGGTAGTAGCAGCCTCACTTAGAGGCGACTCTTGCTGCTAGTGGCGTTTCTGAACAGAACTCTCTTGTTCTATTTTTGAATGTTGTGGACTTAGCAGTGAGTTTATTTTGGCTCACCTGCTTGACAGGGCTTCTCTCTGCTAAACATGCTATAGGTTCTGCATATGTGTTTATAAATTTATGGCACAAAAGCATGTTAAGTGTTTCTTTACTGTGAAATGGAAGAGTGGCTTTTAAACTGAAGCAAAGTTGAAGCAATATAGAGGAGGGACCATGTAAATAAGGCTTTCAAATACTAATTCTGAGTCCTGTTTTATACAGAGGACCTCTTGGAATGTGGTACAGCAGCACTTCGTAGCACTGTTAGAGGTAAAGGATTTTCTCCCTTGTCCAGCAGTGAACAATGAGAAATCACGACAGGGTGTGCACTGCTGAAGTCATGCTGCATCACTGTGCGTGTTTCAAATAAAATATATCCTTATCTGAAACGCCCTTCTGGAGTGCTAACTGCTTCCCACCACCCACACTGGGGGGTTTGTAAGATCAGATGGTGACAGAATTAATGGTCTTTTGTTTTCTGCAGTTTGGACTCAGTAAAGGAAAACAGGAAGGTGAGGATAGAAGATAGGGAATGGAGAACAGTACCTGTCTGAGGTGAAGCGACAGTGAAACTGAAAGTAGTAGTAAAAATACATTTGGGGATGGAAATCATCTGCAATTGTCAGATGCAGAGAAGCAGAGGACTCAGCAGAGGGACCTGTAGAAGAGGGAAGAAGAGTATGTGAAGAAACAGAGATGGAAAGAACAAAGTGCAGTGTAACTAGAGCAGAGACCAAGAACAGAACCATACAAGCAGAGGGTGAAAAGTCTGGCAGGGTTCTGAAGAGTAAGAGGATCTTAAAACAAATCTGGAGAGGCAAAATGAAGCTAACAGACAGCAAACCTAACCAGAAGAGCAAATCAACCTGGTTCAGCTGTGTTAGCTCTCTATTGATCTTTAGCACTGAGAAGTCTCACAAACAATAAAAACAGTTTATCAGCACACTAGGAGCATTATTAAAATTGTTACAGACAGGGTACTAAGTAACTAAGTAGAGTATTAATAGTGGCTTCTCCTCCCTCTAGTGCTCAGCACAGAGGACTTGACAATGAGAAGGGCCAAAGCAGATTCAATTTTCTAGAGGTAGTATCCTTAGAAAAACAAGGCATCCTGGTGGGACAGGCTGCTGCCAGGACTTGCTCTTGAAATAAGCAACGTTTGCTTCCCCAGATGAAGTATGAATGGCATGAGAATCCTCCTCACTTGAACAGCCCCTGTGGTTTCCTTCTGTTGCTCTAATCAGTCAACATCAGTGATACAGGAAAGTTGTTTTCAGAAACCCTTGTTTGTCCACCAGCAACCACAAGAAATCACCAAGCGTGAGTTCTTGGTCTGTATCCTTTTCAAGGATGAATGTATTTTCCCTCTCCTCTTTTTGGTTATTTCCCAAAGCTCAGAGCAACTCAGTAGCATATGGAAATGAAATTTGTTTATGCGTTTCATCTTCATCCTCCTCCTCTTCTTCGTGGATGGAACTGGCTGGATCATTTTGCTCAGATTCTGCCATTGTCTCAAAGAGCTGCTCTTCCAGGAAAAAGCTCCCGATACCGTATTCCTCCTCATGCACCTTTGCTTCTGCAGGTGAGACGTGGGGAAATCCCAGAACAAAATCTGCAAACCTGCCAAATATTTAAAGGGAGAAGTGATCAGCTGAGAAATGAAAAAAATACTGTAAATGCAGGGGATACTGCCAATCAAGGAGGAATGTTGTAAGGACATGCCCACAGGCAGTGCAGAGGAGGGGAAGTTGCAGCATGCGCTAGGGAGACCTGAACAACTGAGAGGAAATTGCAACGGATGGCAATAACCTTGAAGATCTGTTTTCCTGCCTCATGGTCTTCAGTCTTCTCTATATAAGTAACTTTTGCCCTTCTGGAGGCCATCTGCAAGGTCTTGTGACTAAGCAAGAAGATCTGACTTCGTTTTCACATCTTGTCAGTACTTGCAGGGTAATCCAAAGTAAGCATTTGTACCATTGGATAAGTGGTACTTTAGCTTCTAAAAATAAAGCTGCAGCACGTTTGAGACAAAGGCTGTAAGAATTCAGGTAAGTTGACATTGCTGACGAAAGGAAAAACAGTGAGAACTTTGCGCATTCCTACATTGCTGTGCTATCACCTTGCTTCTAGTGCTGCAGGCACACTCTGAGCAAGCTGAGCTCAAGTCTTGCCAAAGAATTCCTGCTTTTGGTGAATGTGGAGCTGCAGACTGGGAATTCTGCAGCTGCTCCAAGTAAATGCCAAACTGGAAGTCTGGTAGAACAAAGCATGAACTTAGCACTGTCCCTACATTTCAATTCGCCACAAATCTTACTTTCAGTGGACAACTACATTGAAGCTAGAATGGAGCTGGAGGTTTCTGGCAAGAGTGTGGAAACAGATGGCAGTTCTGACACCTGGGTAAGTGTCGACAGCATCACAGAAATGTAAGAAAAAGGAAATGTAGCTACATTCTGGAGTTCTGGTAAACCAATCAATAATTTACATTTTAGACTTTAACATTTCTTTGAGATGAATGTTGTCACCTCGCTCTTCTTGGAAGCACTCTTAGTCTAAATGGGGAACAGCACTGGGCTGGCTGTATTTTACAGGTTTGCCTTATGTTGAGCTATCTTCTGATGCTTAATGGAAGCTTGAAGGGAACTCAACTCTAAATCAGACTTCTATTGGTTCTTTTAATTGCTGTATTTTTATAGTGAACACTTTATAAGAACTGTATTAACTAGGTGATGGATAGAAAATGCATGTGCCTCAATTATTTGTTTTGTGCATTTGGTGGTGCCTTGTTTTACAATACTGCAGTGAGTTTCCACTTTTTGTATCTTTCAATCACACTACAGAATGCAAGTAGCTTAGAAAATAAGATGGTTTCACAGTAAATCTATAAAACCTGTCAGAGAGGCTGTCTGTGTGGCCATCCAATGAAGATGAAGGTTCTTAAACTAGTTGTAACTTTTTATTGATTAAATTCAAAGTTGACTGGGGCACCTTTGAAATTGTGACACTTGGTTCTTTGGCAAGGGCCAAGTCTTTGTGGCTGGCTAATATGTGAAACTCTGCTTCTGATACCTTAAGTTTTGGTTTTGATGCAACTACACTGCTATTATGACTCATTTTTTATTCTGCAAGATTTTCTGGCTGCTCTTATCTGACCCTTCCCCACCCATATTTTTCTGAAGTTTGTCTCTTAAGCTATATCTGGATCAGTTCTTCTAGCTGTTATACTTCCTAGGTGCAGGCACTGATTTCTTTCTCTGCATTCTTAGTCTTAGATATTAGTTGATACTTCAAGTAATAGGATTCCTTGGCTGTGCAGGCTTGCAGTTGGGAGAGCTTAATACAGGTAATATTTAAGCATGTATCTTTAGCCTGCCCCAGTTTTACACAATGGAAGTCTATTCGTCTAAAAACTGAAGAAAGGGGCATTTTACTGGTTAGACAGCCACCAGAGTCACTGTGTAGGAACTTACAGAGGCATTGTAGGAAGTGTGTTAAGTTGTAAGGAAAGCTGCCATTACCATGAATTACCTGTGAACAAATGCGAACTCTCAGAGTAATTTATGGTCAGGGAGGAACAAACAGGGGGTTTCATACCACCAGCAAGTAATACCCTTGAGAGGTGTGGCCATGATCTTTAGTGGGATTATTCAAGATAAAGCTACCCACATGTCTGACTTCATGCGGGATAACGCACCTGGAACAAGTACCCAAAGTAGCATTTGGGTCTGCTGTGTAACAGCATCTGCACAACGTGTTTCCTGTTTTGGAGAACGCACATTGTCTTACCTGTGTGGGGACTGGAGTTTGGATACAGCTAACCATGATGGGAAGTCAGGGTTCCTGCAGAATGAGCGTAGCTCCTCCAGAGCTCTGATAGTTTCTGTTTCACCTTGTTCTCGATACTCTTCCTCAGTAAAGTATTTAAACACTAACTTTTTTGATTTAAAGTGATTCTTCATTTTTCTAGAATGAAATGAAAACAATTAGTGTTTCTAAAGTCTTCTGGCACATAATTCTCATCTGTCCTTTTTCTTGACTACCTGCTATTAACATGCATTAATCACTTCTATCCTTTCAAGAGGACAAGCTACATTCTTGGATTAAAATTTTAGGACAACATGTCTAATGTATGCTAGTATGCCTACCCTAGGTCTTAACTGAAGTTGTAGAATTCCACAGAATTATATCTAATGAGCTTCATATAAGCTTTGGATCAGGTCCTTATGGTGTATGCATGGACTGAAATCTCACAGAATTAAATAGATGGCTGCTTGCTCAGCCGTTTTTAGGTGCAATATGCAAAATGTGTCTGTGCAGAGACACGGACTGAATCAAAACCCAGTCTGCATATGTAATTTCAAAGATAAGCAATACTCTAAGTCTGTTATGAGTTGTTCATGTTGTTTACTAGATTGCTTCTCTTAAATCTTGCTTTAAATTACAAAACTGAGGCCAAAATGTTTACAATCTGATGTTTTTTTAGCTGCTGCGTAGCGATGTATAATATAATTAGATATCAATTAGAAAGTGTGCCATGTTCTGTTCCCTTCTGTCAACTGCTTTCAATTTAAATGTTGTGATGAGTTAAGATAAGCAAGGGCTGGATGCCCGTAAAACTCAGCTCTGTATAAAAACACCTGCTCCAACCAGCATCATTCAACTTTCCTCCTTATTTCAGTGTAAAGCAAGAATGAATTGTAACCCTTGCTCAGGTCAAATCGTAAAGTTCTTGCTGGCTCAGTGGGAACAGTACTGATCTTAACAACAAATAATGCAAGGTTCTTAGTTATTCTGATAGATCTGCTTCTCTTAACTGTGTACCTGGCATCATGGGCTCAGTTTAGTGCTACTGCTTAGTGTTTCAAAACAGGAAAAAAAAAAAACTTCTCATTCTCCTAAGAGACACTGGTAGAACTGTATTTCAGTGATTTTTGGCTTTATAGAAGCATCAGTTCATGAAAAACAAAAAAGGTCCAGGTGGAGAACAAACTACAGTGTTTCATGGTAAAACAGGTATATTCTAATTTCTGTGAACTTGTAGACAAAACTTACTGATTTCACAGTAAGCTGAACCTGCTTACATCAGGTAAGTACTGATCCTGTATGTTGCTTTTGAAACAGCTGGCACTTCTCAGCTGCAGGCAAAAATGAGTCTTTAAAAAATGATAAATTCTACACAAAATAAAAAAAAAGCTTCAACACAGGCCTCACTTCAACATCTAAACAGAGCACAAGAGCAAAGGAATATGTTCTTCAAAATTAAATGATGTGCAAAAGACTAGAAATTATTTGTTTTTTATTCATTTGGTTATGCCAGTTTTAGCCTTTGCCTCTTCCTGGTTCTCTACAGTTCAGCAGAAGTCCACAGCTATGGAACAGTCTGCCCTAAAAATTATTAATCTGGATGCCATCACTGAAGGTAAAAAACAAATGTAAACTGGTAGGACTTTTTAGAATCCTCATTTGAGTGTTGTATGTGTGATAAAACATGCTTCAAAATCAAGGATAAGCAAATAAACTCCAATATTGTTAATGAAAATACTCAGCAAACTAAGGTCTACATATTGCAAGCAGTTCCCATTCCAAATGCCACAATATAAAAGGGTCTCTGGGAAGACGGGGGACTGTCTCCACAGTGATAACAGACTGTTTCCATGAATTAAAGGTAGACGTACATCTAGGATAATAACCTTGGAAAACTAAAATCAATGGAAGCTGTTGTTTTTGTGCATATGGGTTTTTAGTCCCTGAACTCTATGCGATCTAACCTACAAGGATTGTCACTTTTTAACATTACCTCAGTGACAGTACACTGTTTTATCCCTTCAGATTCAGTACAAGTTACCTGCAGAGTCTCTCACTACATGTGAAACTAAGGCAGTATTGCTGCAGTCTAACCAATCAACCAAACCAGAAATACTTCAGTTACCAGATGCTGCAGAGCAGAAGGTGCTACATTTGTATTTAAGAGCACAGTCACATTTCTCCATTGTCCACAGAACAAAACTCGTGCTTAAAACTGCCAGATGGGAAATAATTAAATTCCTGTGTCTCAGGGTGTTAAACCTTTTCTACTGCAGCTTTACATTTCATAAAAATATGAAGTAGTATTAGAAATTCATAACTCATTATTGAAGTATGAGGGTTTTTTCATCAGCAGCCTCCAGTATTTCCTGGTGATACAGGGACTTGGACGTTCACACATACATACAAACCTGCCAATGTGACAAGCAGCACCGAGGGGGTAACACAGGCCTTTTGAACAGAGGCTGGCTGCTATTACTGCATATGCAACCTGAGGTATGGTGACACCACAATAAATCAAGACAAAGGCCGTTAATTGTAGCGTCCACGCGAACAAGGTTATATTTAGTTCAGTGGTAAGCGGCCCATGCTGATAGCAAGTGGTGAAGCTGGCGAGTCCAACAGACAGAAAATACCCTGTAGAAACAGAAAAGGAGGACATGGAGAAAAAGATGCAAACTACTCATATAAATGTCATTAGTTTGGTTCACAAAGCCTCCAAGTGCTGTGATGTTTCTTGTGTTGTCTTATAGATACCTGCATTATGTTGTATGTATAGCGTATGCCCACAATATCAAACTCCTTATTTAATGATACAATGTGAGTAAATGCTCATTTGAGTGTATTAGGAACCTTTGGAATATTCCAACATCTATGGCTTAAGAGAAAAAAGTACTCCATAAATGAGCCACTTTATTTTGTTTTTTATGGCCAGATATTCATCTAACCACTAAATTAAACCAAAATCTGCAGTGCATTTTTTGATAATTTTCTTACCCAACAAGTAGGTTCTGTGTTCAGACCACAGCCACTGCATATTCTCTTTGAAGCAGTAAATAAAATAGAGAGAGGACATCCAGCAGCCAATCATTAAGATCCAGAAGGTACTGTGCTGGAAATTAAAAAAAAAAATAATTAAAAAACACTTAAAAAAATAAACAAAATTCAAGTCAGAATCAGGACCATTGTGTGCGAGGGAACTCGGGCAAAACCAGATGTGATATTTGGTAGACCTACAGGGCTTATGATCTGTACATCATAAGACTTTTACTGTACAGTGCTCTGCACGCTACAGCCAAACAATATCAGTTCTAAGTGGAGCGCCTGCATCACTGTATTTGTGTATCATGTCCCAGTGTCATGGTATAAGCCTGTTGCAGTGTATTCCCAATTAACATATCTCAGCAATATTGTGGGAATGCACAGACTTTGTAAAAGTGAAGGAAAAATTCACATCTGCCTTGTAATGAATTGTCTCTGGTGAACAGAAGAGAATCTGTCCCAGTTGCCACTAAATCTACATTTTGATTTAGATTGATCTGTAGATTCAAAAGTAAGCTCAGCTCCAGTCCAATACAAATAATTTATGTTTCAGAATAAACTCTTGTTGATGTACAAGAATCTCCTGTTTAGTTTAAACTCAGGAGCAAGCTAACTAGAACTTGATTCCAACCCAAACCATTCTGTGATTCTGATTCTGTTTACTTGACGCAAGCAATCCTGCAGTCATTTCAGTGCAGTTACCTGGCCACAAAAACAGAGCAAGCTCAGAATCTGGCTCTGTACTCTTCACTTCCTATTTTATGATGGTGATTACTGTTATGGTTTATAAATGTAGATTTACCCTTGGAATAAACCTTTTAAGTGTCAACAGGACAAAGACTAGCAGAGCAAGAACACCCAGTATTATTCCAGAAAGGTAAAAGAACTTGGTACTCCTGTAAGAGAACAAGAGAGAATATGGTGAGAAGTACGATTGGTAATTGGTTAAGATGCCAGCATTTGTACAAACAGCGGTGATCTTCAGTAAGAACTTAACGCAGCTGTAAGTTAGAGTTGTGGTTACGTGGTTAACAGGCCCAGTTTAGATATTAAATCCGTGTAATTAAAAATTTCCAACAGATACTTAAGGTCACTGGAGTTGTTAAAGGCTAGGAGATTGGGTTTTTTTTAAAGATCCCACTATTTCTGATTTCATTGGCCTTCTAGTTTCTAGTAATTTCATTTTCTTCTATGTACCAATATGGTTCTGTACTGCAAGAAGAGTTTTATCTTTTAATTTAAAACATAAAAAAATCTCCACAATCCCACAAGTTTTTTTCTAAGCTTATGCATTTATAAACTCTGACTTTTCAATTCAGAGTTAACTCTATAAAACCTATTGCTGCTCTGCTTGTTTTAGAGGTGCCTCCTGACAATTAATTTGTGACTCATTTTGCTTTGAAGTTACAGGCCACATATTTTGCTATAACAATTAAGTATCCTCCCTTATATGCTATGCAAAATGTGCATCAGAAGAACAATGGGGAAAGGTGGCACAAAGGTGGAGGCAGACGAGGCCCCAAATGACCTCATCCTAAGCATTTCAGGCATCATTGATAAACACGTGCCGCACTGAGCATTCAGCTAACCTCACTGGTCTACAAAAGCGTGAATTTTTCTGAATCCATGCACTTGCTCGCTGAGGATTGTCTTGGTGTCACCCAGTGCAGGAAGCTTGGGTACAAGAACCCCAACACAGCTAAGTGATTAACAGAGTGCAGAACTCCAAGATATGTCACAATCTGTCCAAACTCAAATGGTATGAAGGGGTTTTAAATACACGTTCAGTTTCCTTATTTAACTTTCCCCAAGAACTGGCTCTTTAGCTTAAAGAACATGTTGACCAAAGAGGCACAGGCTTTGGAAAAGAAGGTCAAAAACCAGCAGCTTGTACTCACCTGCTCAGGCTGTTTGCAAAATGGAACAGAAAAATTCCAGCTATGAACAAAAACAAGAGCTTTCCATCTAGCACTAAAAAAGGAGGAAAAAAATAGAAATGGACTTCAGACTAATTCAATCTGAAATGTTGTTTATATAAAATAGCAACAGAAAAGTCACAAGCTTCTTACAGAAGAGATGGTACATTCAGTAACACTGGCAATACCAAGCTATCTGTCATCTAAACTGAAAGCTTTTTTACTTACTTTCTCGTTTCACGCTCACAGTGTACAGTTCTGTTTTGAAGGGCTGTATTTTGAAACAAATATCCTCTCCATATTGTTTTATGCTTAGGAAAGTTTCTGTAGATGTCTCTGGTTTCCAGAAGATTTGAACAGCACATGCAGCAAACTCAAAAACAGTTTCCGAATTACGACAGTTGCTTTGTTCTGAAATAGGCTCGAACCTAAATATTTCTCTGCTGTTAACTTTTACCTAAAAACAAACAATAGAATACACAGAGAAGTAGCTCAGAATCACTGGGGTTTTTTGTATTTCTGAACTATATAGCATATAAGTCATACATGTCATAATGAAAATCAGTATAGAGAGCTTGAGAATAAAATGCTAGTGCAATTCTTAGTTGTTTAATATTGGTTATTAATATTATGCAAAGATTAATTGTTTAAGCCTTACCAGGTGATTCAGAGAACTCAACGTCAGCAAAGTTCTACAGAATCCATCCAGAAGCGCAGTGCGTTTGGTTTTACCGTGACACTTGCCCACACAAACCTCACTGCATCCAAAGCGGAGGATCACAGTGCTGCATTTTTATCATGGTCCTACCTATACACTGTTCCAGCTACTACACAGAGGTCCTGCTTTGATTTTGCTAACTGATCATACACTTTGCTGGCAAAAGTTCACGTGAAATGTGTTGCATATCTGAATGATCCCCAGAACGGCCTCCTACCTGAAGAGTCGACCAAACGTACTGTAAGTGCATTGTTCTGTTTTGCATGTAGCAATAACAGTTTTCCTCCCGTTTCTGGATGACATCCATTTCCTGCAAAATGTGACAGCTTCTACCTGGGGGGCAGGGCAGAAGAGTTAATTTTAAGCATGTACCACATAAAAATGTAGAATTTTTGTCCATTTCCTTGTTGTGTTTGCTGAGGGAATCACAAGGAATTTGCAGATAATAGAAGGTACAAACTACGCTGCATGTTCAATATGATTTAGATGAAAATTCAAATTAGACTTCTGATCAAGGCACTTAGGCTCCAGAGTAAACTGCAACACCTTTGGAAAAAGAAAATCTAGGGTGATATTTTATAAAAAATGTAATCCATAAAAGCTTGGCTTCGGTATCAGTGTTTCAGTGGCAATGGAATAGGGCCTCTGGGCCAAAATCACTGCTGGCACGAGTGGGTGGAACTCCACCAGAGTCGATGCTCAATACCAGTGGTGAATGCAACTGTGGGAGTCCGAGCAGGTAAACAGGCTTACAGATTAAAATAGTAATTTAGCACATGACACAGCTGCTGATCGCAGAAATTGTACTCCTCTCCCTCAGCAATGTTTCTCATGTTAAGTGACACAGCTCTTCTTTTTAAAACAAATTTTCCTGACATAGTCCAGCTGTGACATGTAATAAGGCAACTGCACTGACAGCTTGCTGTAGGTCATTTAATGAGGGATGCTAATCAGTCTAACTCTCCTGAAATGTTAGTGACCCCCTACGATCTCCAGAATTAGATTGCACTTTTGAGCAGAAATGATTTACAGAACAAACTTTCAAGAATAACATAAATTGTGATCTATATACATGTGTAAAGCATACCCTACAGTGTAATACTGCAGTGTTCCAGGAACATAATTAAAGAGAAGAATAAAAGAAATAATTACAGATCTGAACAGAGGGAATCATCTAGCTCACTGAATAGAAAATGTGGGTCTGAGCCAAGCTCAGTAGTAACTGCTAAAACACTGTCATACACTCAGAACAGCAAGGTAAGTATGTGCAAAACAGTCTCACTCTGGGCAAGGAGATACTGTGTGCAGGTAAAAACCTGCCCTGTCTCTACAAGGAAGTTGAAATTGGGCTAAATTATTTTTTAACTGATTTAATTATTCCAATGAAGATACCTGTAGATGTTCTTACAGAAGTGTATTAAGTCATTCCAGAATTAAAGTGTCCACAGATGATCCTGCTAAAGTAAATTAGTTTAAATTTAAAATTCTGACGTATTTATTGTAAAAAATGAATCATCCGCTTAATTTTAATTCATGGCAAATCCATCAGGAGGGAGCACAACCCTTCAGACGAGGGCTGGCTGTACCTCTTGACAGGCACTTCCATAAATGTCATCAGAAGAAGTGGCAAAAGGATTCACGCATCTCTGAAAGTGTTGCCAACTGATGCAGCAAGTGAGGCTGGGCACTGCCCGGGGCTAAGACCAAGATAATCTAGTGACAGGAAAAGCCAATGCCCTACCAGGGCCAAAATGCAGCCGGGAGTGCCCACAGCCTCCCTGCAGGCTGTTATTAGGATTTTCCGTGTTAGATGTAATATCCTCCATATACAACTCTAGCAAATATCTTCGTACCCTCCTTAAGGCATTTTATTGAGAAAAATAATTTGCTTCAAACATGGCATCAGCTCCATAGAGCGAAACAATCGCGTTCCAATGGAAAAAAAATGCTTCTGCACAGGTAACCGGGAGATGGAGGAGGGCTTTAGCTGTGGTGAGGGCAGACAGAGAGGGCAACTCCCCCGTTCTGGTATCACGAGCCGGGGAGAGAAT